AGAAGCATTGGTAAGAAAATTGGGTAAGGATGACTTGTATGGCCACCCAAACAGGACACGGGAACGGAAACCGCTCACAATACATATGGTTTTGCGCCGAATTCAGGGGAAATTCGATTTAGGGTGCTGAGAGTAGAGGTTAAGGTTGTGGCGGACGGCAAACAAATGCTGCCTCTTCCTCGTTAAATGCCCGCGGCCCCAACGTCATCCGTCTTTGCAGGCGGCTGTTCAGACTCGCTGACCTTAAGCCGATATTCACTCGCACATGCACGTGAGCACACAGCCACATTCACGCGCGTGCCCAACTAGTCGTGGCTTCTTAGGGGCCATTTAACATGCCACCCCTTTGGCCAACGCAACAGGGGGCCTCTACGGTCGAAAACCCCTTCGGGCAATTGCAATACGTTAATAGCAAACCACTTGAAGTCGCTTCACAGTCATGTAAAAGCAGCTGTCATCATCATCTAAGAAGAACACCCAATCCTCACTCTCGGGCACTACTGGGCATAGTCAACATCAACCCTGGCTTCACCAGCAGCCACTGCTGCCTGAGACAGCAACATAGGGTTCTGTGCACAATAAATTCCTCATTCTGATGACTTCCGTCTTTTACTTACAACCTCGGATTTGGTCTGATGATTATAGTGATCTGAGAAAAACCACGACTTATACCGCTACAATGTCAGAATTGTGTTAGAGGTCAAGCTTTGGGCTCGTGTTAACTGTGTGTTTAGGGTTACAGTTTAGTTCCATGTTAGGATTAAGGCACGTGAATATCTACCTGCCTGAAGTTCGTCGCAAAGCCACCTTCTTTTAAGTAGGCGGGGCGTTCCTAGTCCAGTGTCCTGTCTAGGCGGCCACACAAGTAATCGTCACCGTATCATTTCCCACGACACATTCCTCACTATCAACAATCGGACGCGTCTAAATCTATCACGACGAGCTACAAGTGGGAGCTTGAACGTACACAGAGAGAATAGCTCGGTCTTCTCAGGACAACAACGAGTCAGACCACAATGGCGCCTTCTTAATGTGACCTTTATGATACTCCCACTCTGAAAGGATCCTAGCTGCCTTCTGGTTTCTGCGAAAACCTTGTTAATCTTGCTTCAACCGGATGGTGTGTTACACGCGTAGTCGGGCTCTCAAGGCTTGTCAGCCACTGCGTTTCTGGTCATCTCCAGTTTGTACTGCCGCAGGACCCATAAGAGCAGCATAATCTCAAGGTATTTCAGTCACTTAACGGTGCTGGTTTTTGAATGCGTGTCTCCTCGGCAAGCCGCAAAAACGTCTACGGAAACACGATCACTCGCGTAGTTCATTTTCCGCACACCCTCGTCGCCTCTGGATGTTTGAATTTTTAAAAAGGCATTGAGAATCAACGGAGGAAGTTCCTCCTACTTCGTCGCTGTTTTCCCGCGAATGTAGGCGACCGGAGAGGTACGTATGGAAGAGCAGGCAGTTTGATGCGGCTGAAGTAACTTGGGATTATTCTGTATGTTTATCAGTATTAGAAGTCCACTTACCGCGTTTTCCGGACTATAAGGCGCGCTTAATTTTCTCAAAAAAAACGAAATTACGGATTAATGCAGCGCCATGTACCGCACAAAATCGCTTCGACATCAGTAACCAGATGTAATCGATATATAAGACGCTCTGAGTCAAGGCACACTGTCGTTTTTGAGAAAATTAAAGGCTTTTAAGTGCGCTTTATAGTCCGCAAAATACGGTAAATGATTATTTCTAACCAGACGCAAATGCCGCAATTTCAGTTAATGTTTACGAGATATGTCACTTTCTGTAAAGACATCATGGAAAGCTCGTCTATTAAATCTACCTGGATCGTAGTCCAGCTCCTCAACAGAGTCCGTCGGAAGTGCAGATGATGTTAGTCCCATCTTAACGTTGCAAACAACCGTGCCCAGTAAACTAGGTGAGATTGCGGCCTTTTAAGTAGAGATCAGGGTTGTATGTCGGAATACGAGAGAACACACCGTCCACAGGCACTTACGCCATGAGTATTCCCATCTGCTCTGCTTAGTACCGAGCTACTGACACAGCTGTAGGATATTGTAATGTTATTTGATTATGGAGGAGCTACCAGTACTACCAATACTCAGCTATATTGCCTGGTAGTAGTGGCAGAAATAGTAGCACGGAATTTAAAAGCAGACTGTTTCTATCGCGAGCTACCAGACACTGCAAAAGTAGTTGAAAGATGACATGCTCGATCGAAAGATAACTGCGACGTCTAAATCCCCCTTGGTCGTCCCCGGTCACCCAAATAATGAGGAAAGACGGTACCCTGCGGTTATGCGCTGTCCATGGCAAGCTAGATACTGCAGTAAGTCAAAATTAGCCTGAAAAACGGCAAATGGCGCTACGTCCCTAGTAGCAACTAGTCGACTATGAGTGGCTATTTCTAGACGTTCGCAATGTTGTGAACTAATTGGTTAACCAAATGACGCAATCTGAAAGGTTTGTGCAGTTGAAGCGCACTCCCCTACGTGCGTATTCGACTATTATTCGACTATTTTTTGGCCAAAGTAGACGACTATTAGTCGATGGGACCGACTAGGAATAGTCGACGTTTAGTCGTTAAATAGTCGAGAATTGCTACTAGGGGTTGCGACCTAAAAGCATGGTAGAACTTGAGATATTATTAAATAACGCTTCTTTAGCCCTTCAGCTAACTCTTTGCCCGATATAAGTTGCGTCTGCATACTAGGTTCAAATTTCCTAAATGCACGCACAGGCTGCATTGTAGTATACTGTTGACTGGTCTTATCAACTATGATTAGTA